AGCAAGCCACCAGGTCCAGGACTCGAACCATAGTTGACTATGTGGGAGTCCAGTCACCACTCCACCTGCCAGCCCCAAGCCAACAGTTTTCAAAGAGGGAATTGAAAGAGCTTTGATGGTTGAGTGGTTTGTTACATTTTAAATGTGAGCAGAAGAGCTATTCCATGGGGCAGCACTCTATGGGGCCCAGAGACTTGGGGCTTACAAATGATTGGGGTCTACACAACTGGCTTCATAGTAGTTCTTGCCATTGGGAATGCAAATACTCTCTGGGCATGAAGCAGTAGTTATTTCTTTTAAAAGATTTGAAAAAAAATCAAATATAAAATCAGTTGCCCAGAGAGGATCTTTTTGTGTTTTTTTTTTTACTTTCTTTTTTTTGGAGCGGTTTTTGCTATAGGGCATATGCACTCGCCAGAAAGACAGAGATAGAGAGACAAAAAGCAAGAAGTCACCCCCCAGGGGGGATGGCCACTCCACAACCCCTTCTCCTCCATTCTCCTCTCGGGATCTTGGGCACACACACACATGCACCCGGCATGAATTTAAGCCACCGGGTCCAAGACTCGAACCACAGTTGACTATATGGGAGTCTAGCGACATAGCCATTATGCTAACTGCTGGTCCCAACCCAGAGAGGATCTAAAGCTAAGGTCACTATATCTATTCCTCTGAGAGAAGAGAAGGATGTTTAATGATGAAAATAGAGCTGAGCCCTAATGTGCAGGTGCTTAATCTAAATTGAAGGATGCCACCAAATGATGGATGCCCACAGACCTTTGCCCAAAGCTGGGCATACTGCTCTGTGATCTGTTAGAGATGTCAACTATGAGATGCTATCTCTGTAAGAGTATTACCCCCTCCCACACTCTCCACCACCTGCTCCTTCCCGTGAGCAGGGAAATTGTTTTCTGTACTCTTTGAAGGAACAAATGGTCTAAAATGTTGTATTGGAAAATGTGCTCGAGGCATACATTCTACTCCCCTGGTTCCCTCTGCAGTTACTGAGAGCCTGTCACGTGCCAGAGACTATATATTTGAAATATCATTAGTTCCTTCCACAACCCCCAGAGTGGGGATTACACCTATGTTTCATAGACGAGGATATCCAGGTTCAAAATGTCTAGTAGCTGCTCAAGGTCACACACCCACTAGGTGACAGATTTCAATCCAGACTCAAACTCTGTACCACAGAGCCCTCTTCTCACCATGCCAGAAACGCTGAGCTCCTTGGTCTGGGCTGCAACCCATACACTGCCAGTGTTCTGAGCTCCCAGCGTGACTCTGTCAGGCTGCTGGGATGGGAACCACTGCACTACCTCATCTTTAAATCAGGAGGTTTGGTTCTACCTTGCATCCCTAGGCACCTTTAGGGGAGAAAATGAAAAGCTACAGGCCTTTTCTGTGGAAAAAATAAATGGACGTTTGTAAAGAACACATTTCATACAAGTTCAGGTAATTGCGGAAGTTTTGGAAGTTTCTGTATGGATCTCCTGAGCATCACAAACTTAAATTAAGAGCCAAATCTAGAAATCCTGGGCTTCAATTACTTGGCCACACATGGGAGTTATCTGGGAGCATTTAAAAACTTCAGATTTCTGGGTCCTATCCCAGATCTACTGATTCAGAATCGCTGGATTTGTATTCTTGTAATAAAAGGACACATCAAAAAGCCTGTGGCTAAAAGGAATTAAAGTATAAGTTTATTTTTGTGCAAAAAGCCCCCCTTGAAAATCCATACATAATTTTGGCATAAAAAAGAGAGAGAGAGAGAGAGAGAGAGAGAGAGAGAGAGAGAGAGAGAGAGCATTAATTTTCCACAAACTTTTTGAAGATTTTCCTCTTATGTTCCCAGATGACTTTTAAATATCCAACAAGACAGTCTGTATTAGACTGACTTTTGGAACCCACCATCCCAATAGTTATCATTCAGTTGATCAGAATTCATCTCTGCCAGTTCTACTCAAATAATGTTGGTTAAATTCCTTAATCTCCTTACCCTTCAACTCTTTCTTCTGTAAAATGGGGAAAACAACTGTCCCTATCTCATAGGGTTGATATGGGATTAAATAAAATATTCCATGCAAGTGTTTAGTACAGTACCTGGCACATAAGTACTCAATAAATATTAATTTATTAGTGATTATGTAGTAGTATAATTTTATCACCTATGTAATGTCTCTATAAATGATCTCAGTTATTGAGGTGGGACAGAATCCAACTGCCAGCCAGCCAACCGTTAACAAAAATACATGAAAGAAAGGAAAAAATTCAAAGTTTATTAAACATTAAGAATAACAGACAAAGGTTTGAACTTAACAGCAGAAATATCACCAATAGCATGGTGTACAATTAAACTCACCTTATGTTAACTTGTACCTGTTTAACAAATGCAATCTTTGTGGTGTTGCCAAAACGATAATGTGTTATTGTTGTTTGGTAAGGTGCTTGCAAATTTAAATTTTTGTCTTGACTTAAATATTCACACACACACATGCACGCATGCACGCACACATCCACAGACACACACATCTGCACATCCTTGGTCCCCTGCAAACTGTACTGACTTCAGTTGTTGAATCCAGTTCAAGCTCTAGGATAAGGCTTAGCTCACTTTTAAAAAGACAGTAACTGTAGTGAAAAGCTGGGCGAGACCTTGGCCTCACCGTGGGGGATACCTAGGCTCCTACAGCAGAAGTGGGATGAGAGAGAGCAGCAAGTGTCTTCCACACAGAGGGCAGGCAGTTAGGCTGTTACCTTCAGGGTACTGACCCCAGAGCTAGAGCCAGACCTCTAAATCCCATGCCCAGGTAAGTAAGCCAAGTCGAGCTACCTTGGGATCAACTAATTAACTGATAATGTTTGAATTTTCCTATACGAAACAATAAGGGGAAATTAGATGAATTACTAGAAAACCCAAAATATAACTTTGCATTTTACAGAATGTCTGCTGTTTTACCCTGGGGCAGGAGTGAGGGTGTGACTAAAATTCTCCTAGACTCAGGGATGTATATTCTTCTAGACCCTATGGATGTATATTCAGAATTATTGAGAGTTTCTGCATAAAACCAGCAGGTCAGAAAAAAAAAATCTCTGGACTATTTAATGCAGCGTCCAGTCCCTCACCCCCACCTCAGTGCCAGAATTCCATTTGTACCTTTCCATTTGTTTGAAATGGTCCATGAAGGCCTGTGGTATTCAAAGACAAAGGGCCCATTACGATCCTGTGCCTGAAGTTTTTTGAATGACTCAGGTTGGCCACTTTCTCAGAGGAGGAAGCGATTGTTTACAGCCTTTCTATTCTCTACGTACCTCCTCAAGGTAGCACCGAGTAGAAACAGGCTGATCAATTTTTGCCTTTCTTTGCGAATGTAATCAAAAGAAACAATGGTGTGAACTTATCAGGAAGTCCTGTGCTACTCAGTCCAAATCATGTCTAAATGATGTTGGCACAATACGATGTGGATTCATTTATAGTGGCCAAGTAATTACTCTCTGAAAGAGGCTGAGGATGAAAAGGTGACAAATGACAACAGCACTCTTCGAACAGCTGCAGTCTGCAGGCATTCATTTGACCCTGGTTGATCCAAGTCATGCCAAAACTTCCCACTCCATTTAGCAGAGCTGCTTCCTTACCTAGTTAATTGCCCTGGACGGACAGGCAGCCAGTCCAGAAAGGACTGTTTACGTGTGTGTGGTGACAATTACCTACATATAAGGCACCTGTACAGACTTTTAAGACGAGGTAGGTTTCTGAAACCTCTCCTGGCACACAAAAGAATATGTTTTATTTGGATCTTTTTTATTTCCTCTGCAGAAAACACGTGTGATGTTCATTTGACACAAACAACTGAATTCCAAGACAGACTCATGTTCAAATACAGATTTTTTAGCCACCATTTGATACTGTCACATATTTGGATGCTCCATGGTGCAATCCTTCAACACTTCTCCGTTTAAAGATACAATCTGTGAATTGTCTTAATGACTATTGCCATCCAGCAACTCTGCAATTAGCATCTCTGTCTGTAAAAGAGGCCAGCTCTATGTCCACTGTGTCTCTTGGTGAGTATTTCTTACTCAGTTCTGCTTAGGCTCGCCAAAGGTTGCATTAGTTTTTATTATTTTCTTCAATGATGATTTCAATTCCGATACTGCTCCATCTCCTATCGTTATCTGTAGCTTAGAACAAAATGGGTTCCTAGTAGGGACAGCCTGCTGGTAGGGCTTTTCCTAGACTATGACCCTGTGAGAAGTACTGCGGATGGACTGACCAGGAGACCAGGAGATCACCAAAGAATGAGATACTATGGAGGCAGGAAATTAGAACATCTCATTGATGAAATGGTATTTTAATTTAGCACAAAATGCTTCTTTGCAGTAACAGCAGATTCTCTTGATATTACACAACTTAAGACAAAAGAACAATCATCTTTAATGTTCAACACGTCTATCAAATTATAAGCCATATATATAGCACCGATATCAACCTCATACTGCATAAGACGCCTGGGCCCATGGAGAACAGAAGTGTTCAGGGCACTGGCAGCAACGCTGGGTTCCAGGAACTTGGAATTTTGAAGTGAACATTTTTGTGGCAGATGCTTTTCCTAAAAAACACTGTATCATCCAATAAATATTTGACTAAAATCCATTTTGTGCTTTTTGGGTGATGTTAACTGACTTCTTTCTGAGCCCTAATAAGAAATGAGAAAGCTCCTGAAGTATTTCGGAGCAGGATTCGTCACAGCAAGCCTTGATAAAATTTTAATTTAAAGCAGAAAACATGCTGATGTGTCAGTGATAGGCTTAAAATATTAAAGACTTCAAAAACCCCCAAGCACTTCTTTTCTGTACAACATTGGTGAATATATATCTTTGCTATATAATTTTAAAACATGGAATAGTTTTCCTTTTCTCTTTTCTATATATAATATATGTCTTCCAAAATACATTGTCAGTATTTATATCTGAAAAATACTGTACAAAAAAGAACTTCCTATAATTACTCTGTATAAACATTAAACAATTTAATAATCTCTCCTTTTGGTCTATAGTAAACATTTAAATTGATTGGATTAACCACAGTTTGTGACAACACCATCCCCTTTTGAGATACACCAGTGTCTTTTACATTCATTTTTTTCAGAAGTCCACTTTATAAGAGCACATACGTTCAAAAGCAAACAGAATAATAAACATAAGCTCCAGAATCATTAATTTATGAGGCATTCAAAAATGACACCACTAGGAAAAGGGTTTTTTTTTTTTTTTTTTACAAAACTTCAACTTATTAACTTAATTAACTGATTTTTAAAAACAGCAAAGTATAATTCACAAAAATATATATATTACAAAAAAAAACAGAAAAACTGAATCTTAATTGAATTGTTTCGAGTATCAAGAGGGGTATGGAAAAAGTTAACTAGAAAAGTCGGGGTGGGATAGAGTGGAGGAGAGGGGAGACGACAAAACCAAACATATCAGTGTCAAAGGCTATTCCAAGATGCTTTTTTTTTTCTTTTTTTTCTTTTTTTTTTTTTTTTTGGCTCATGTACTGATAAATTAGCCCCTCATTCACAGACCTCCCATTTCCCTCTGCTTCCCTTTCCTGGGGATGTTCTGGTCATGCTCAAATGCATTACTTTACCTTTGTTTTTTAAAAGACAGTGAAATTCTTAGGTAGGGAAAATATCCTACGTCCACTAGTAATACTCAGGCAGCATGCTCTAGAGTACAATAGGATTATTGCTTTAGGTACAGACGGTGCAAAAACACTCTGTGTTCTATAATAGTACTCTTATTTATCTGGGGTTGGCAGAATGAAAAGGAAACTTAGTAGATAGCAGTAAGTAAATATGGGATCTAATAAATCTAAACAGCACGTTAAATTTGAAGACAATTATCACCAAAACGGAAAATACGAGGAAAGCAACCTATAAATGAATAGAGCAGTGGTGTAGTGCTAAGTTATTCTGTGCACCTTATTAGCATGGTAACTTACAGATTAAACAGAAACGAGAGCTTGTACTCGTTAAAACTGAGACCTGCTATTTGACCAGGGCCCTTCTTAGTGAACTCAAACACAGATCCTGGGGAAATTGGTAAGCTTGAACACAAAGCAATGCCAAAAGGGCAGGAGTAGAGAAGAAGGGAGGGGAGGAAAACCCATGTGAGGTCTCCAAAGTCTAGTATAAACATGGCACCTTTCTTTTTGGGAACTAAAAGATGATGAGAGGGCTATCTTATCTTAAAATGGCAAGTGCAAAGAAATACGCACACACACGCACACACACCATTGATAAAGCACTTGCACAAGCACACACACACACACACACACACACACACACACATACACACAGATGCACACCAAAATGTGAGTCAGTTGTGTTTATGCCTCTGGTAAAGTGCTGATGTCAGAAAGGTTGGTTTGGGTGTGGTGCTATCAGACAGGAAACAAACTGTCCATCTATTCAAAAGCCAGCCCACAGAAATGCCATCCTACAGGGGCCCGTGCCTGGCCTCGTACTTAGCAAGTATGTTCTTGCATTTGCCTAGCTCCTTCCTTAAGTCAGCCACCTCCTGGCGTAGGGCCGAGTTCTCCTTCTCCAGGAACGAAGCCCGGATGGCAATCTGATTCTCCTTCAGCCGCCGGGCGTCGCGGGAGCGTTTGGCCGCCATGTTGTTCTTTCTGCGCCTTGCCCAGTACTTGTCATCCTGCTCATTAGTTACAGAAGGAAAAGGAAATTAGATATTAGATTTCAGCAAAGCGGAGTGTCAGTCAGAGCACCAACAGCCTTCAGGGTTGTGCTGAGGCACCAGCCTGGGCTTCTTAGCTTGTGTCTCCTTCCTAGACAGTTTTTGCACAGCTGAGAGTTTGGTCCGTGAGCCATGGCTTCCTTGTGGAGCAACGCCTAACCTGTCCCAACAAGCTCTTGCTGTCTTTGCCCAGCAGAGTATGTGCCCAACCAGGTAGAAATCAGAGACTGAATGAAAGCAAGTGGCTTGTCTCATTCCCTAAATTACATTCCAATTTTCTCTACTCTCTTTGCTGAACATTTTATTTTAGGAGTCCTTTTCCTCCATGGGCACTCACATGCTTTTTTAGTATAAGTTGGTACAATATTTTTGGACAGCAATTTGGCAAAGTCTATCAACTATTTAAATGCACATATAATTGATCTAGCAACTCTACTTCTAGGATTTCATCTATAGCAATTGTCATGCATGTGCACATAGACACTGGCACAAACACTACTGACTATAGTGTTGTTTGTAATATAACAAAAGACGAAAACAATAATTATCTGTAAGAGATTTTAAAACTATTGGGTTGTCGGGAAAGTCATGATGCATTTTTGCATAGAAAAATACCATGACTTTCTCGACTACCTAATATGTTATGATAGGACCCCATACTAAGGGATGCTCTGCAGCTCTTAAAAATAATGACAGAGGGAGACCAGCAAATGGTGTAATGGTGACATCGTTGGACTCCTATGTAGTCGACCACAGTTTGAGTCCTGGACCCAGAGACTTAAAACTCACACTGGGCATGTGTGTGTGCATGCCCAGATCTCCAGAGGAGAACGGAGAAGGGATTGAGGCATGGCAATCCCCCAGGGGGGTGGTTTCTCGCTTTCTGCCTATCTCTGTCTCTCTGGCGAGCACACACACCCTACAGCAAAAATCTCTCTAAGAAAAACCAAAATAATGACACAGCTAAATTAGCAAGATATTCATGATATACTGCTATGTGAATAAAAGCAATAGTAATTTGCAAATAAAGAAGTAAGATCTCATTCCAGTTTGGTTTAAAAAATCATAATATTATACATTCATAGAAAGAAGCTCAGAAGGATTTATACCAAGTCTCTTGAAAGAGAATTGCAGGAAAGATGAAAAGAAGAGAGGTAAGATCTTTCACCTATTATTTAATATCCTTCTGAACTGTTAAGACTTCAGACATGGGGACCAGCAGTTGATGTAATGGCTATGTTGCTGAACTACCATGCTCCCATGTAGTCGACTGCAGCTTGAGTCCCGGACCTGGTGGCTTAAACTCACGCTGGGTGTGTGTGCGTACGTGCCCAAGATCCCAAGAGGAGAATGGAAGAGAAGGGATTGCGGCGTGGCCATCCCCACTTGGGGGTGATTTCTCGCTTTCTGTCTCTGTGTCTCTCTTTGTCTTTCTGGTGAGTGCACGTGCCCTATAGTGAAAACCTCTCAAAAAAAAAAAAAAGACTACAGTCATGTACACTTTAATAATTAAAAACAGAAATTAGGGTCTAGCAAGTAGTACGGTAACTAAGACAACTGGATCCTGCACGGCTGACTGTGGAGTTGGAGTCATAGATTGCTGGCTTAAAAACCACACAAGTATGCACATGTGCCCAAAATCCTGAGAGAAGAATGCAGGAAAAGGGACTGTGGTGTGGTTGTTCCCCATGGAGGGTGCTTTCTTATTACCCCTCTTTGTGTCCAGTAAGTACATGTACTCTAAAGAAAAAAACTGAAAAACAAAACCAAACCTTCAACCTGCCACTAGTCGATGTCCTCATATTGGTGGCTGGCATTGAAATAACTTATTCTAATTTCCTGTTTAACTGTTCTCTATATGTTAATTAGCCTGAGTAATATGTAACTTGTAAGCAATATGAAAGCAATCTTTGTCTTTTTTCCCCCTATGGGTGCCCCCCTGCAAAAAGAGAGAGAGCGAGAGCGAGAGAAGCTTCCTAGGGATGCTAAACATAAACCTTTTTTTAAACGTTCCCAACTCATTGATGGTGCTGCCTGATATATTTTTCAACTCTTTTTTTTGAACAACCTACAACAGCAAATTCTTCAGTCCTAGCAAAGCTAATACCTACAGATACATGCTACCTAGAACAAGTGGATGAGGATAATCCCTCCCCTTGCTCAGGATTCCATGAAGCAGCTGGCACTGGAATAGGTCATATGGGTTGGGATCAAGGATGCAAGGAAGGTCCAAGGTCAGCGGCCTATTCCCAGACCTGCCATTACCTTCAGCAGACATTTTCCTGGCACAAAGACAAAATACATGAGATAGAAAGTTTGTCGGGGTGGGAGTGGGGTAACCTGTGGCAGAGTGGCTCAGGCAGCTGAATCCCACACGGCCAACTACGTGGTCTGAGTGACGGGGTGGCAGCTTAAGAAATGTACCAGGTGCATATTTGTGTGTGCTCCCCAAAAGGAGGGAGAGGTGAAGGGATGAGAAGGGGTTGTGGCATGAGCGTTTTCCACTGGGAGTACTCTGTCTCTCAGTCTGTCTCTCACTGGAGAGTGCACATGCCCTCTGATAAATTTAAAAGAAAAAAAAAGGGGAAATCCATGCTGAACAGACTCTCTGGTCTAGTTCAAGAGAAGAGGCTCTAAGATACACCTAGCATTGGATAACTAAGAACATAAGACCGGGAAAAGAATGTAACTGAAAGAAGATACCTAATTTCGTAGGACTTAATCGCATGATGCCTCTTCCTTTCCTATCTCAGTTTGACCATCAACATTCTGACTAGTTTAGATTTTCTTATATATTTACCATACACTTTCCTGTTTTTGATTCTCAGGGTGACAGCCCATTGATTTGACTCTCCAGAGCCCCTGTGGTAATTCCGGTCGGAGACAATGCATGATCATTCTGGATGAGATTTTCTTATATATTTACCATACACTTTCCTGTTTTTGATTCTCAAGGTGACAGCCCATTGATTTGACTCTCCAGAGCCCCTGTGGTAATTCCGGTCGGAGACAATAGGCTGCATGATCGTTCTGGATGCTTGACAACTTGGGAGCCAGGACAGGCCTTACTCTACCAGGTGAAATTCACCTGATGTCACCTTTCTGTTCCTTTTGCTTCCTCAACTGCAAAATGATAACTTTGAACTAACGAATCTCTAAGGTCCCTTTCAGCCCTGAAATTTTCCCAGTATGCATCAATTAAGGTAATCTCAGGTGTATGGATGACAGTAGTGATTTAAATCTGCCAGGGACCTGTCTCCAGCATTCTTTCTAGATGTGAAAAATAGGAATGCCTGGTCTAAATCAGTTCAGACAATGTCTCAAATTCTCATTTTTCTAATCTAGGAACATCTGTACATGGGAGCAATATTTAGCTTTGAGAAATGGGGATCAGACATTAGAAAAGGGCTAATTGTGCCTGATTCCAATGCTTTGAATGTGTACAATCATGTATCTATTGTCCATATGATTGGAAAGAACCAAACATAGAAGAAGTCCTAAGCAATGACTAATCAAACATGGTTCCATTTTGGTATTAGCAGATATGATATGGCATCATTTTGGAAATAACATTCATCCAAAGGTGTCACTACATATGTCAGATTAATTTTAAGTTGTATCTGATTTTCCAAGGTAAATCTATCTTCCTTTATAAATAATGCACAGAAAACCAACCCAGCATTAATCTTTTGTTGAGAAACTCAAGTGATCCTTATTTGAGATCTAAAGTGATCATTATATACAAACAGTGTCAGGAATCCATCAGCTTCCTTCACAAAATCCTACCCTGGTCATACCAGGTTGGCATGTAGAGGGAGGTCCTACCTCTGGCTGTTATTCCCTCAGGCTTACAGGAAAATGGCTGCAGTTAATTATCAACAAATTCCTAAAAGGAAGGTAACTCTTGGAGGACTGTGAGGTCTAGAAGCCCTTCCCAATCATTTTCTTTATCTTTCCAACCTTGAAAGATTTTGCTTTGATTTCTTCCCCCTTTATTCATGATACAGTATATACACATTAAAAAAAAAAAGAGAGAGAGAGAGAGAAAAAAAAAAAAAAGAGATGGAAAGAGATGAATACCTTCCCCAGGGTTTGACCACACCAAAATCCTCTTCCCCCAGTTCTCCATAGTGTGAGATCTCAGGAACTTGGATATGTGCCCGCATTTTTTATGCTAACCAGGCTCGGGATTCAAACCACAGTCACCATGTGGAATTTGCTTCTCTTTAGGGGCCTTTCTCTGCCTCACCACAAGGCCAGCCCTTTGCTTTGATTTTATTAGGCTTTCAGTGTTTGTTTCCTTCAAGAGTTTAAAATCACTCCAACGTTTTCTGGTTTCTCCTTATTTCTACTCAGTATCAAGACATGAAAGCGTATTTCAGAAGCCATCCAGAGAGCATACAACTTGTCCAGAAGTCTACTACAAGCCAAGAAACAGGACCAGAAACCTCAAATTCCTCATTCATTAACTTACAGGATCTGAAGTCAACCAGTCAACCTTTGAATTCACCTGTTGATCCCAATTTCCATTTGCCCAAAGCCTAATTACCAGTTCCAATTTACCTTCAGATCATCAGGGATGAAGACTTTGCGAGCTTTCTTAATCATGGGCTGTGGCTTCAGTTCTTCCTCAGAGAACTTGCGTTTGCGAGGGTCGAACATTTCTTGGCCCGGGATGCTGGAGAGGGCAAGATCTGCAGGATCTGGCTCATAACCCACTGGAACCTGGATGGTGTCGGGATCAATCGGACTTGGTGTATTGCGATTGGCTGGCAAGAGCTGACCTGGAACGACACAGGAGTTTTAATTCATGAACACTTGAGGAAGACCTAGTATTAAGACATCTACTTAATGATGCTCTGGATCAGTGTCAGGAATCTTCATCTAACTTAGGTATGACCCTAACATTATTTCTCTTATTCAGCCTTGTCACGTTTCTGAGAACACAGCAGGCTGAGGATGACTGCACTCATGTCATATCCAGCCAAACAAAGATCTAAATATGCAAATTCATAAACAGAAGGGAGAAATTCAATTTAAAAATAAACATTCATCCTTTCCTATCACAAGTTCATGGAGTACCAGCTAACTGCCGGGCACTCTGGAAGGTGCAATGGTTAGAAGTACATGATTTTTAACCTGTGAAGTGGTTTCCAGGCAAGTCAGGAGGACACCACAATAACAAGCCTGTTAGGACAGAGTGCAGGTACTGAGACGGGAGGGAAATCTCCTGTGCTACCCAAGTGTGGGGAAATAGTATACGATACAGAAGTGGTTAGGGAGCACTTCCTAAAGGTGGCACTTGGTACAGCTGCATCTTGAGACAAAATGTGATTAGCAAAGAAAGTGTTTGGGCCCAAAGACAGAGGTTTGCATTTCGGAGGAACTCAAATAGTCTTAGGTAGCTATTGCATTGAATCAGAAGACAGGATGGAGTAAGATGGGGCATAGTGCAAGATATGTGGCTAGGGAAGTGGGCACCGGGGATATTAAAAAAGACTCACGTGTCATGGAAAGATTCTGAGCACTGAAGTGACCAATAGCTGAAGTTTGGAAAGGAGATTCGGACAGCGTGAGAAATAGCTTGAAGGGGTATAACTAGAGACAGATCAGATGCAAGGCTGTTGTGATAAACCATGCACACAGTAGTAGGAGCGGAGACGGAGAATGGGATGGTGAGTAGCAGAGGAGGTGGTCAGAAATATTTGACAAATGAGAAAGGACAGAATAGAGGGACCAGCAGTTAGCATAATGGCTATGTCACTGGACTCCCACGTAGACGACTGCAGTTCGTGTCCCAGACCCGGTGGCTTAAAACTCAGGCCGGGCACGGATGCATGTGTGCCCAAGATTCCGAGAGGAGAATGGAGGAGAAGGGATTGCGGCATGGCCATCCCCCCGGAGGGTGATTTCTTGCTTCCTATCTCTCTGTCTCTCTCTGTTTGGAAAAAAAAAAAAAGGACAGAATAGAGACAATCGATTAGGTTATTGGAAACGTCATGATGTATTACCTATTTTTTTTTCTATGCAAGAATGTATCAACTTTTCTGACAACCCGAAAACTCTACTTGAGGGTTCTCGGCACTGGAATGAACAGATATCCATAGAACAATGGGGTTTATTGTGTTTCTGAATGTGTCTGATCCATTGAAAGTGAACTTAATAACATACCAAAATGTTAATGTGGAGAGCTTTGAATCTCAACCTCTAGCTTCATCTGAATTTTACAATCACTTCGTTCACACCCAGAGAATAAATGAGAGGATGCAGCTCACCTGTGTTTGGCCCATCTCCCCTTCTTCCTCACCTCCAATGTTAGGTCAATATGTGAGTTATCCTTTAAGTTTCATTAAAACCTACCCAGATTGAAGCATGAAGCCCCTGGCTCGGATTCTAGCAAAACTGTGAAACCGGGCTCATCTGTTTTCTGGAAAGGCCTGGTGGGGAGCTAGCAAAATGAATGCTCTGGGTGACCTTTTAGGTCCCCACTCTGCTTTGAGCTCTCTTTGTATGCTGCTTGCCAAAGAGGAAGAGTGGGCCCTGAGGCTCTGGCAGAGGGCAGAGATTTCTCATTAGCCAAGTTGTAGCTCAGCCCTGGCTTCTAGAGACTGCTGAGTTTTGCGCGGGGTGGTGTCAAGCTAGATTTGATCTTGTGTCTCTTGATATTGCCTCAGAAAATGAACCACATCTGAGTCAGATGGGATTTTATTTTCCCTTTAGACACTCCCTTTGAACTTAATAACAAGACTACCCAATATCCCATCACTACCACCACTGCCATGCCCCAACAAGGTACGTTAGGCACACTTTGACGGCTCTTGAAACATCTCTTAATGAAAGCTTCCCAAATCTAATTGCTACAAATTATTTTAAGTTCCTTCTTGGTACTTTAGTATTTTGTTTATTGTGCTATATGAAATGTTCTAGGGCCAGCTCCATGCCTCAGTGTCGATGCACTGGTCTATAGAAGCTGACACCACACAGTGACTGCAGTTCGAATCCCCAGCCATCAGTCTGAATCATGCCCGGGCACATGTGTGAGATATGTTAGGCTGGAGGACTGGAGGAAGGGGATTATAATGTGACCCGGCTCTGTGCTTCTACATAAGAGTTTTCCTTTTTGTTTTTTCTCTCTCTCTCTCACATGCACTATTACGAGTGAAGGAAAAAAATGTTAATGTTCTTGTTTTACATACACAGGCACCTCTTCTATCAGACAACAAGATCTTTCATGTTTGATCTATTAATAGTTTGCCTCCATCTGATTCCTCATCACGAAGGCTACTTCACAGTTTGGCTTCTACATAAGAGTACTCTTCATTTGATGGTGGCCCTTGGATATACAAACAAGACTTTCGTTCATGGACGTTTTAACAACACAACTACATATTCAGGCAAAATCCTTCTTAGTATTTTTTTTTCTCTCTAGCCCCTTCCTTCAGTGGAAGCAAGTCAGCCCTGCCTGCAGAGTGGAGGTACCTAACTGGGCCACAGACTAGGCAAGGGGCTTCCCCAATAACAAATAGCAAATAGCACAGGACCTGAGAAACAAAGCCAGTAGATCCCTTTTCTCCCCAAGACACCTTGGTGTCATCGTGTTTATCTGTACTTTCTACTAAATTAGCTCTGCTAAACTCATTTGCCCTCCTTTATTCCAACATGTCAGCAGCATCACTGGGTAATGAGGAGAGGGACCATTTACTTGTTTTCCTACTTTTTGTGGCTTTGTAAAATTTTAACATAAAAACTGTCAATTTAAGAATGTACTGTATTAAATTTTTAAATTATCAAAAATGTTCACTGCAAAAAAAAATTTTTTTGAGAGGTTTTTGCTATAGGGTGTGAGTGCTTACCAAAGAGACAAAGAGACAAAAAGTGAGAAATCACTCCCCCAGGGGGGATGGCCATGCCACGATCCCTTCTTCTCCATTTTCCTCTCAGGATCTTGGGCATGCATGCACACACCCCTGGCGGGAGTTTAAGCCACTGGAGCTGGGGCTCGAACCGCAGTCAACTACATGAGAGTGCAGTGACATAGCCATTATGCTGACTGCTCGTCCTTCACTGCAAAATTTTAACAAGTGCAGAAATGCAAGAAAGAGAAAGTCCCAGTTCTTTCTATTCTCCTTTCCCCCCAGGCTTTCTCACTGTTCCTCCCAGAATAACACCTTAATTGCTTGGTACGAACCTCTCATGCCTTGATTTTTACACATAAGTGATTTAACCCAAATGGGATTATACTACTCACATATCTTAAATTACTCTTTCTTTCTTTCTTCTTATTGCCAGAGGGTGTGTACACTGAGAGAGAGAGAGAGAAAATGTGTGAGAACACCTTCCCCCAGAGGGCATGGTATGGCACAATCCTCTTCCCTCCATTTCCCCATATCTGGCCAGGATTTTAAACACAAATGTACATAAGCTCAGAATGTATTTCAAGCATGTATTGAGAGAGAGAGAGAGAGAGATAAAGAGAGAGAGAGAGAATCCAGTTAGGAGTCGGGATTCAAACTGCAGCTGGCCATGTGGAATCCAGCTCCCTATGTACAGCACTTAACTACTGCAATGCAGAGCTGACCCATATATTACTTTTTCCACATATCAACCTAACATATGCAATTTCTCATGTTAGTACAAATAGAACTACTTTGTTCTTTTTAAAGAGTAGTATTCCATAGTTTGAATATGTAACAATGTAATTATTCCCCAACAGATAGACTTTTAGGTATGTGCTTATGTCCAAGAGATTCCGAGAAGTGAGACTGCTCAAGCAAAATGCACGCATGTTTTGTATTTAAGTGTACTGCCAAATTGTGCTCCAAAAATGTCATACCTGTTTGTACTTACACCAACATTTATGAGAGTCCACATTTCCCACAATAAGATACTCATTTTAAAAGTGCTGTCAACCTGAAGTGCACAAATTTCACTATTGTTTTAATTTGCACTTCTCTGGTGGCTGTGTACCACCTTTTCACATGTTCTGCCCCCCTTTTAACATTTTTATTTATTTTAGGTTTTTGTCATAGGGCATGTGTGTTTGCTAGAAAGGAGAGAGACAGGGAGAGGGAAAGTGAGAAATCATCTCCCAGGAGGGGTGGCCACACTGCAATCCCTTCTCCATTTTTCTCTCAGGACTCTGGGCACACATGCACACACACCCAAACATGATTTTCTAGCCACTGGGTACAGACCCAAACCGTGGTCGGCCCTGTGGGAATCCAGACACCTTAGCCACCACACCACCTGTTTTGCCCTTTTTAATGTACGTTTTGTTTCCTATTCATTTTTATTTTTTTTTGGAGAGGTTTTTGCTATAGGGCATGTACACTCACCAGAAAAACAGAGAGACAGAAAGTGAGAAATCACTCCCCAGGGGGGATGACCACACTGCAATCCCTTCTCCTCCATTCTCCTCTCGGGATCTTGGGCATGCACGCACACGTGCCCGGCGTGAGTTTAAACCACCAGATCTGGGACTTGCACCACGATCGACTACATGGGAGTCCAGCTACATAGCCATTATGCTAACTGCTGGTCGCTCCCATTCATTTTTAAGAACTTTTTATAGACTATGGATATAATATTTTCACCTGTTTTATCTATAGCAAGTATTTCCTCCCAGGCTGTTATTTCCTTCCTTCCTTATTTCCTTCCTTCTTCCTTTTTTAAAAATTTTTTATTGCTTGTCACAGGGCATATACATTAACCAGAGAGAGAGAAAAAAAGAGAGAGAGAAGGTACCTCCCATGGGCCATGGGCACCAATCCCTTCTCCTCCATTT